TATAATGGGATTTTAAGTTGCTTTTAGCAACAGCCTCAGGCCTCTCAACAGCCACCTTTAAATTGGCCATAAAATTAAACTGAAGTTGTCGGTGGGAACTAACAGCAACGGACATCAGTCATTGGAATTATGCTGGGAACACACATAGCAGTTACCTTAGATGGTTTTCTCATTTGCATAGCGATTTTCCTGAAATTTCAAGGTGGCACTTCAACGCAGCCATATTCGAAATTTCCATTTAGGCTTATTTTGACGAAGATTTTATATTCGCCAGTACACTTTAATATCTTACTCATCCCACTAAATAACCACTTACAACTGGAAAACCTGAGTGATAATAAATGGTAAAATATTTAGATCAGCCGCAAATTATTTCCGGTAGAAATCATCCTTCCAACTTTGGAAACTTGGAAATGAAAACAACAGTGTAATTGAGAAAGAGCCTTACCATATCCATCTATTTTCAATACAAACAAATTTGCCACTGATATTAAAAAGCATGCTTTATCTTGAGAGAATTCATCCAATAAGTTGAACTAAGGTTTTTTTTTTCAAAACGCGCTCGATTTATTTCAATGAAACTTGACTTGGATATTCATGTGGCATGTGAACAAATTATGGGCTATTTATGGACCAAACAATCAGAACTTTTTAGCTTTGTTGCATGTGTATGATAAACGGTTTTTGCTTCAAGAGCCTGTGACGTAAACATAACGTAAAAGAGCCAAAATTGAATCACCTGATTGGATGATTTGTTCTTGTTGACGTCAGAGAGGAAATTACCTTTCACCTGTCATATTCCCAAGTATTTAAGCATTTGGCAATTGGCAAGATACAGTAGGTACAGAGGTGATGAATTAATTGTAAGAGGCTTTATTATTTACAGCTCAGTGTTACAACTCGTTGGGCCTACAAATAAATTTACAAAAATCAATCATTTTTATTTTAATTGAATATTCGTCAAAGTTAATTGCACTAATATTCCAAGTGTCCTGGGTTATCTTGGCCGCAGCTTTTGCACGAGGAAAGTTGGAGCCGGTGATCTTCAATTCAACATTGTGACCAGTTTGGTCAGAATGCACTAGGCGAATGAATTGGATAGAAAATCTCACCGAAAGTAGACTATATATTGAATGTCTGGGTTTTGGGATTGCGAAAGCCCTAGTTAAAAATCTCTTGTTCTGATACAACCTGCCAACGCTTCTCAGTTCTTCGCCCCTGATTGGCTGATCGCATGAATAAACACTGAAAACGTCGACCACGGTGTTTTCGTTCTGGCTTAGGAAATCTTAGGGGTAACTGAGCTATAAGCCATTTGCGCGATGACGTCTTTTCACTACTAAAACCAGGGGAATAATTCATTTCGTTGTTTCTTTCATTTTTAAATTTGGTAATCTCAGTGAGGTTTAAATAACAAAAGCCCTGATTTACACAAGAAAGCAATACCCTCAAGGGTTCTGTTGTAAGTAGCAAAACTACGTCATTGTGCAAATAGCCTGTTATGCACAACGGCAAAAAAAGACATAATTTGGCTATTTATATCGAGTACCATTGTGTTAATCTTAGATGCTCTAACAAAAGCGGACTGTTGTATTCAATGGTTCAACGAATGAGGTCCAAATTATTATCAACGCATTATTATTGAGGTGAAGGGGTCAACGTCCGAGTGCCGCGCTACCATGGAGACTGACATGAAACTGATTCCATCACATGGTCTGAGTGGGATTTGAATTCGGTTCATCCCCAGAGTTTCGGTCGACGGCTCCTTTACAGGACGCTGGCGGAGGATCTCGGACGAGAATGAGGCTGCTCTCGCTTCCAGCTGCCTTGATCTCCTCAGTGCAAAAAGCTGATTACATCTATACAAATATGGCGAAAATTAAACAATAGATTGCTTCACGCCTCCGCAACTCTAGCATCTCCGCCCACAAAAAAGTCAATGAAACTTAATAATAACCAGGTGTACAATTAATTGAACAGAATAATGAATTACTCCTTTAGCAATTACGCCCCCTGAGGAGTAAGTTTGTGGGCTGCGACAATCTTGGACAGAATAAAATGGAACAGCAAACCCCGATATGGACGTTTACCTCGCTGATATTCCAACAATGATGAAAGACTGAAACTTTTAATAAGTACTGTTAAACTGTGTAGCGTACTCGAAGTTTGTTAAAATGACGCTGACGTGTCGCAGACGATTTACAAAATGTTTTTATGCGATCTAAGATGTTTGTGACGGTAATCAACGGTTAATGACGATTAACAGGTAATTGAAATGAAAGGGAGTTACTGTTTGTTACTTTACTGTAAAAACGACAAAATCGATGAAAACCGTCGGCAACCGATCTCTTGTAAATCTTTATGTTCGTCAATATAAATCGTGTCATGATTACTATACTAACACTGTAAGCAACGCCAGTTGGACTCTCGGACATGTAGATAGTCCTAGAATAAGATGTAATGTAAGCGCACCTCAACTCCGAAATGTAGACCGCGATTGTGTCAGTCACTATCCCACTGACTCCCTTTCTTTTGATTCGTTTACGTCTTGATGTTTATCGGTTGCTTCATCTTAAAAGATATTGACAGATAACTAACGATTAGCATTGACGCACTTTCTCTTTCGAACGCAGCTTACGCAAATTGTCGAGACAATTTAACTCCTTTGGACTTAAACCGTCTTAGACACTTAACTCAATTGGGAACACAATTCAGCGCTCTGATGGACCAAAGTCAAGTTATTGGCAGAAAGCTAGAGCTTTGGACCTACAGGGTATTTTAATTTGACTTGAAATTCGCACACATTGGAATATCATAGCTAAGGATATTTATCGTTGGATCGACCACGACGCCAAAAAAAAAAAAGAACAATGAGGAAGTCGGAGGCGCTCTAAGTTTTTAGTACCTGCTTTATTTTTAGCATTTATGAGTAGCTTATATCTATTTACATTTTTTAAAGAAAGATCAGCGAGAGAGAGAGGGGAATTTTTCATCTATACACACAGAAAAATTGTTCGTGTCACATCTCCAGTGAGTCAAGGGATCTAACGAGCTCAGCCGTTTTTCATTTTGTAGAGAATTCTAAGTTATCTATCCATTCGTTAATAAACCTGTCACTTCTCGCCAGATTTTGACTACACTGAGCAGTCTCTCTTATTTATTCTTAGTCCGTCGAGCGAAAAAATAACCACGCGCGTGACTGAAGGAGCGAGACGAACGCTCCCCTCACTAAATCTGAAGAAAAAGAGAGACTGCTGGCAGTCTGTTATCCCAAATTGAGAACAAAACAGTAAAAACAAAGAAAATGTGCTATTTCTGATTTTTTCGTTATCTTTCCTTGGGTATTAAGAGCACATTAACACGGCCAAAGGCACGAGAAAATTCGTAAGTGTAGTGGGACATGTATTTTTCTCACCACGGTACTTCATAAGATGTGTACTTTACTGAAAGTGAGGAGAACAAGTCAAAAACAAGAAATCTTTTCTTACGGCGACTGGGAACTGCCTCGGTTGCCTCTCATACCGGCTACAGACGTGATCAGGAATAGAGAGGTTAAGCATCACGTTTAGTTTACGTCAAACGCCAAACGGAATTTGTAGTATGTGACCAGGTTTCCTCTTTACTTGTCGTTTACTGTTCATTATTTCTACGCATACATAAGTAGTTTCACGCAATTTCCTATCCATAAGAATCGTTTTGAGCTGTTCTTATCCGAGAAATTCTCAACTCGAATCTGACGTTTGCCGTATACGTGAAGGTTAAACTCTCTAATGAGAAAGAAATGAAGTCTACTACAGTTTGTTAAGCTTGTTGCGGCGAGAGGGAGAACCATGACAATCTTGTTTCAAGTAAAATTTGAACAAGGAGTAGTGCTT